AGCAAAACAAATCAGTATTAAGATTACAAACTAAAGTAACTAGCTTTGCTAAGTGAATTAAGTAAATGAAATGAAGTGTGATAACTAAAAAAGTACACTTAAAATCAAGTGCACTTTTGTATGATCCTATAGAAAAAAAAAGCATCAACATAAGAAAATGCAGAAAAACAAAAATATCTGAAGCAGACAAAACGGGAAAGTGAAACATTATCCATTTACCTGGCATGGGCAAATAACCTGTAAGAGTCAAGAGTAAGATGCTCTAAGTTTCCCTGGATAGTCAGGAACAGGTACCACAAAGCCAAAGGTCACAATTTGGTATCCAAGAGCAAAATGGGATAGCAAATAAGAAAGAAGGAAAGGATGGCTACTTTGGGCAAATGCTGACAAAAGAAGTAGCCCCCAATAGCTTATTAGCAGTGGAAGGAAGGAACAAAAACAAACCACGCATAACCAGAAAATACGTTTTTAAAATGGAGAAGGCTGAGGTTACTTAGTGTAGTGTTAAAGAGCTCTACTCATTTCAGATGTCTCTAAGGGTATTATCATAGACATATACATTCATGTTTACCCTGATGACATTCAACCATCAATAAAATGTTACTTTCTCTTCAGAATGTTCTATATAAGATGTGCAAATAATAAATTTTAGCAAGATTTTAAAAAGGCTTGAAACATAGTCTTAGCACTTAAATGAGAAGAACTCATTTACACTAGACAATTTACTAATTTGGAAAACTCATTCTTTGCTAATGCCAAATTTATTGCCTTAAAAAAAAAATCCTAAACCCATAAACTGGCCAATAAAATACAATTCCACATTCCTTCTATTTTCATGTTTATTAAAGAAAAGATTGTGTTTATCTTTAAAGTACTAGTGAAAACTACAATTAGAGTAAAATATTCTCTAGAGAAAATTTTGAAATGCATTTCAAGTAGTCAATTGATACTTTTTTTTCTTTGTAGAACACTTAGCAATTAAAGACTTTTGAAGATTAAATGTCAAAGTAAAGACATTTAAAGAACCTCTAATAACTGCTATTACCAAATTAAATTAAAAATGAGTATCAAGAAAAAGATTCTGTCTGTTCAGAAACAGAGTATTTTTATGAGGCCAGACTGAAAAGTTAATGACCTGAAACTTTAATTCCAAAGCCTATTATTGAATTCAAAATTCAAGCATTCTGTACATAGAATAAATTGCTAAAATTTACACTGTTCTTACTATGCATTAAGTATTGGGTTGATATGCATCTACAACTGTATAAAGAAAAACAATTCCCTGGGTTTCTCCTTTACTCTCACAATGCTACCACACAGAACATTACTGATACCAGATGTGTGGGTTTTCCACACATCAAGTAGTTTTCTGAGACTAGTAGGATATCCTACACAATCTACTTGCAGGTAGTGTCACATCCCACAGGCTAAGGCCTCACTCCCGCAAGACTCTCCCAAACTCCCACTTCAGCTGCCAGTCACAAATCCCAGGTTCATCTATACCTGTGACTGGCCATACATCAGGGTTTCAGCAACCCTCTCCTTGGGTTCTATAGTTTGCCAAGACAGTTAACAAAATGCACATTGACCAGTTTATTATAAAAAATACAATAAAGGATAATAATGAACATCCAGGTGAAAGAGATGCATAATGCAAACTATAGAGGAAGGTCACAAAACCTCCATTCCCTCACCAGACATGCCATTTTCCTAGTACTTCCATGTGTTCAGCAACTCAGAAGCTCTATGAAGCCTGTACTTTTGGGACTTTTGTGAAGGTTTCATCACACAGGCATGATCAGTCACGATCCTATCCTAAAGGTTAGGAGGTGAAGCTGAAAGTTCCAAGCTCCTAATCATGGTGTGGTCTTTCTGGCAAACACCCCCTATCCTGAAGCCATCCAGGAGCCCACCAAGAGTCATCTCGTTAGAACAAAAGACACTCCTATAACTTAGAGTCAAATACCAAGGGGTTAGGAGCTATGTGTCAGGAACCTGGATCAAAGATCAAATATTACAACAAAAGATGTTCCTAGTGTTCTTATCACTTAGGAAATTATAAGAGTTTCAGGAACTGTGTGCCAGGACCCAGAGGCAGAACACAATATATACATATTTTCTATTATTTTACCAACTACCTTATTTAATCTTCACTACTTAAGAATTAGGAATATGATCCCATTTTATAGAAGAGGAAGCTCAAACTTAAGAGGTGAAGAGATTTAAGTTAGGAAGCTAGTAAATGGCAACTGGGATTTCAGTTCAGATGTGCTTCCAAACCCATGTTCTTAATCACCACCACAGCATGTTCTCCCAAAGCCCATTTTATTTTATTTTTTAAGTGTATTGATTTATTTTGAGATACAGCATAAGTGGGGGAGGGACAGAGAGAGGAGGAGAGAACCCCAAGCAGGCTCTGTGTGCCAGCGCCGAGCCCTGTGCAAATCAAAACCACAGGGAATCATCACCTCACACCAGTGAGAATGGCCAGTATGAAAAAGAAGAAGTGTTGGTGAGGATGTGGAGAAAAGGGAACGATTGTGCACTCCTTGTTGGAATGTACATTGGTGAAACCATTATGCAAAATACAAGAATGGAGGTTCCTCAAAAAATTAGAAATAGAAATAACTACATAATCCAGTTATTCCACTTCTGGGTATTTATTCAAAGGAAGTAAAAACACAAAATCAAAACAAGTACTAACCCCCATGCTTATGGTAGCATTATTTATGATAGTCAAGAGCCAACATAGGAGAACAATATGTGTACATTGATGGATCAATGGATTTTAAAAATATGTATATACATACAATGGGATACTTTTTATCCATGAAAAAGAAGGAAATCTTGCCATTTGTGACAACATAGATGCATTTTGATGGCATTATGCTAAGTGAAATAAGTCAAATATATGATCTCACTTATATATGGAATCTCTAAAAACAAAACAAATGAACAAACAACAATAGATTCCTAAATACAGAGAACTGATGATTGACAGAGGGAATGGGGGTTAGAAGATAGACAAAATAGGTGAAGGGGATTAAGAAGTACACACAGCGATCAAAAGTACAGCATAGGGAATAATATAGTCAATCAAATTATAACAACTTTGGTGACTTTTGTAACTAATCATGGTGAGCATTTTGTAATGTATATGATTGTAGGGTCACTATGTCATATACCTAAAATTAATATTGTATTATATGTCAACTATGCTTCAATTAAAAATAAATAATAATAATTACTATAAAGTGGGCTTTTGCAGGGGTGGGGGTGCCTAGCTGGCTCAGTTGGTTAAGCATCTGATTCTTGATTGGTTTCGCCTCAGGTCATGATCTCATGGTTCATGGGTCCAAGCCCCATGTTGGGCTTCATGCTCACAGTGTTGAGCCTTCTTGGGGTTCTCTCGCTCTCTCCTCCCACCAACCCTCACCCCTCTCCCCCATACACTCACTCTCAAAATAAACAAAAGAAAAATATTTTAATGGGATTTGGAGATGCCTGGGTGGCTCCTTTGGTTGAGGGTCCAGCTCTTGATTGCAGCTCAGGTCACAATCTCATAGTTTGGTGGGTTCAAGCCCCACATCAGACTCTGCACTGACAGTGCAGAGCCTGCTCGGGATTCTGTCTCCCTCTCTCTCTGCCCCTCCCTCCCACTCATGCTTACTCTTTCTCTCAATGACTCTAATGGAGATATGTATAAAGTAAGTGAGAGTGGAAGAGAAGAAATATTTAAGTCAGAATAAGGGGCCCATTTTTTTTTTCCTAAGAAAAATGTACCAGTTTTAAGTGTTTCAATGTTATATAAACAAAGCTGCAGTAAACATCGTTGTAGGTGTATTTACATAAAAAACATGTATAGTCTGTGAACACTGTCTGCCATCCTCTTCCCCTTCCGAGGAAGACAAAAGTTCTATCCCCAGGCACTGCTGGGGCAACAGAAATTGGGTTGCTCTGTCACAGAATTCTCCTGTGACCAGGAACCAATGCCTGCTCAGCTGTACCAATAAATCCTCTTCCTGGAGAGCCACTTCACAGTTTTCCCTACTGAATACAGGTCAGGTCTCTCTCATTGGAACCCAACATTTTATTCTCCAGTCTTCCCTGAAACTCATGAAAGCAATTCAATATTTATCAAGTACTATGCATGTTTTCTACATTTGATGTGATTTTGTTGGTGTGGTATTTAGGCATTTTTAACTGATGATAACATTTCTAGACAGAATATCATTTCAACCTATTTTCATTAAAAGAAGTATTCCTATAGGTAGAATTCAAATATGAATCTCAGTCCAATGGTTTTGTATTAAAAATGAATTCCTTTAGTCATGAGTATTGCAATAAAAATTATTAGCATAATAAACATTCTTGACATTGATACTGAAACAGTACATCAACTTAAATAATTTGTAAACAGATTTGAGTTTGAATCTCAGCTTTGTGGTTTTTCTTTGTATCCTAGAACAAGTTCTCAAACTCTCCCATGTTCTTTTATCTCTTAAGTGCAGATAATAACAAGCGTGTTGATTGTTGAAATTAATATTTATAACATGCCTTGTATATATAGCACATGCTCATAAATCTTAGCTATCATTGTACTTAGTAATTGTTACAAGTTCCCATTTGTAAACTTCATATTTGTAATTCTGTGGTTTAAAAAGTATTCTGCCTATAAACGAGTGTTTTATATTGTGTTTTAAACTAGGATACTAAGAGTTAAGAGGCAGTATAGTGTAGTGGTTAGGAACATAGATGCTGGGTTCAGTCTCAGCTCCACAACTTATTACCAGGCTGACCTTGGGCAAGTGACTTTGCTGAACTTTAAAATGGATATAACAGTAGCACATTTCTCCCAGGGGCATTTCTGAAGAGGTAACCAAACTGCCTGTATAAACAGTTTAGAAAACTTGCTGACCTATAGAGCTGTGTGTCAGTTATTGGCATCATCATTATCATTATTAATTTGTTGAGTAAATTATTCTTTGTCACTATTTTAGGTGAATCTTGGAAGCAACCAGTACCTTTTCTCTGTCATAGTGGATCCTAAAGAAATGCCCTGCTTCTGTTTACGCCATGATGTTGATGCCCTCCTCTGGCAACCACACTCCAGCAAACAAGATGATATGTGGGAGCACATTGCAACTTTCAATGCTTTAGGTATAAAGCAAGCTCTTTGACAGCATTTTCCATTATGTCAGAAAATAGGATCATTTTTTTTTTAAGTTCATTTCTTTTTTCTTTTTCTTTTTTCTTTTTTTTTTTTTAATTTGATCTGTCTTAATTACCTTTGGATTGATTTGTGCTATATTTGGTTGCTTTTACTATAGTTGATGAATGTTAGTACTTTTGGAACAGAACCAATCTATTTTTATGCTTGTACAGAAGATCAGCACAGAATAGAAATCAAAGTGGTTATCTCACCACTTGATTCTTCTAATCAGTCATTTGTTTATTCCAAATAAGCTATGCGGTATTAGAATATGAACAGTGGGTTTGACAATACCCTACATGGAACTTGTATTCATGTTTCTTCAGAGTAATCATCAAAAACATCATAGAACTGCTCTAAGGAAATGCATTTTAAAACTAGGGCTTGAAAAATGTTAAGATACATAATTGTAGACTTATGCAATAATTGATTTTATGTCAAACTATATTAGTATTGTATGGGAGAAGTTTTTTTATATAAATTAGGCACAGTTACTGCTTTATTGAGTGATTATTTTAAACTGGGAACAGGAAGTAAAATTATATATTCTGAATACAACCTTAATTATAGAGGAGATTGGTCAATTATCCCTTATAGTTAATAATGTAGGCTGCTAAGCTGGTTAATTCAGACTCCAAATGGATTTTTATGACCTGAAATAAAGAGTTTTATTGAAAAATTTGAATATAAAATTTCTGGCCTCTATATAATTCCTCTTTTTTAATTCTGAATCTTCTTTTTTCAGTAAGGAAATCTGTCACATAATTTTTATATGCTTAGATTCTCCATTTGTATCCCTAAGTCTGTTTAGAATTCTGCTTAAGTTAAATCAACATTACATTTGATTTGTAGTCTCAAGACATTATATACATTGTTAATTTTCTCAAGGTTAGCCCAGAGAGCTAATTCTAAAATACTCAGATATCTACATCCTCTTCACTGTTTCCTCTTCAAACCCTGTTTAATTATAAAACCAATATTGATCTTCCTGTGCTCTACCTAGAGTTCCTTTGCTCGTTATTTGAGGAGATCACTTTACGTTAGTATTCTGTTTTTATCCCACATGTTATAACATTCAGTAACCATGTCCCAGTCTGAAAATCCTAATTTATACTTCAGAACATAAATACCCTTTTAACCTGTAAAGATAATTTTTTAAAAGACAAGAATAAGATTTTACAGAGTTTAATTAGTTTTCAAGGGATGTTCTAATTAAGTTTTTAAAATTAGATGCTTAAATTTTCATTCCAACTTGTAGTTATCTCAAGGTTCTACTTCTGGGAGCTGAAGTACAACAAAATCCTGTTACACTGTGGGCACTGGTGTATAAAAATACCACTAACATAATAGAAATAATAAGAGAATGCATTGTCACATTAGCATTTTTAGGCTTGGGGGCTATATTATGAACACACTCCTGAAATAACTTTATAGTGGTATCCTATAAATATTTTCCCATTTATTTGATAAAAAAGATTCTGTAATGCCACATCTGTGATTGATGAGCTTAATTATTTGGCATTTAAAGATAGTTTGACATGTTTTTAGTCCTTTTGATTTTTAGATTTTTAGTGTCCTAATTATTCACGGAAATAAGGAACTATATTGTGTTTTTCTTAAAGAGATAAAACCCTACCTACTTTCTTCCTTAAGAATTAAAGCTCTATTTTGGCACCAATTGGGAGAAATTTTAAGTAGTCATTAATGGTTCAGAATTCAAACACTGTTGAATATTTATGGTGTATATTTTATCGAGGCATTTTAATTTATAATAAAAACTGGGAAATACTAAATGTGTAATCAATTTTCCTTCTTTTTAATATATGGGTTTTTATTTGTTTCATAACAGGCTACGTCCAAGCATCAAAGAGAGACAAAAAATTTTTTGCTTGTGCTCCAAACTACTCGTATGCAGCCCTGTGTGAGTGCCTTCGTCGAGTGTTCATCTACCGCCAGCCCACTCCCATGTCCACTGTACTTTACAACAGAAAGGAAGGTCGGCAAGTAGGGCAGGTTGCTAAGCAGCAAGTAGCAAGCCTAGAAACCAATGATCCTATTTTAGGCTTTCAAGCAACAAATGAGAGATTATTTGTTCTCACTACCAAAAACCTGTTTTTAATAAAAGTAAATACAGAGAATTGATCACCCCAACATGTTGGCTTTTCTGTACTGAGAAAAGTATTCAGTGGTAGCCAGAAAGCTTAGTAGTTATACTATAACCTGTTAAGTTTTACTATGTTAAATTATCTTATAAGAATTTTTTATTTTTTAAAGGAAATTGGAAGTATATTCAAGAGATTATGATTCTATAAAAGCTATGGAATGAAGCTGCAAATTTAGAGAAAATTTACTTCTGTAAAAAATGTAAAGTATTAGAATGATTTTTTTAAAAACAGTCTGGAATTTCATCTTTTATATGAAAGATGTACAATTCAGTGTTTAAAAATAAAAATATTTATCACATACTCTTTGTTCATTGATAGTTTCTTCTGTACCTATAGAACTTTTGGATTACAGTTAAACTGTTGGTTCTTGTAAATACTCATTTAAGTGGACTGAATAGCTGAAGTAGAGGGGAGGAAATAGAAGTACAGCAGGTCCAGTATTGTTAAAGTTTGCTGAAATACTAAGATTTGGGTTTTTTTTCCAAAAAATTTTTTCCATTTAATTTTTATTCATTTGCTCTTCCAACAGGCATAGACAAAGAGAGATGATAAAGTTCCATAAAGTGTAGCTCTTATCCATTGTTATACAACAAACCACTTCAAAACTCATTAAAACAAGACTATTTGAAAATCTATGGTTCACTGATGTGGCTGTCTCTGTTTTGCATGGCTCCAGTAGGCTAGACTTGTCTTATTCCTGTGATAGAGCAGACATTGCAAGAGGGCAAGACTGATACACAAGAGCTTATCAAGCCTGTGTTTCCATCACATTTGCTCTTCTTCCATTGAACAAAGCAAGTCACATGGTCAAGTCTAGAGTCAGTGTGAGAGGGACTGCACAGGAACACAGCAGGAGGTATATAATTCATTGGCACCATTAATGTGACAGGCTGTCACACAAATTATGATTTATCCTGGTAGTTTTCCTTAAACTTCTACAGTTAAAAAAAATAACCCTGGGGCACCCGGATGGCTCAGTCAAGTGTCCGACTTGAGCTCAGGTCATGATCTCACAGTTCTTGAGTCAAGTCCCACGTCGGGCTCTGTGCTGACAGCTTGAAACCTGGAGTCTGCGTCAGATTCTGTGTCTCCCTCTCTCTCTGCCTCTCCCCTGCATGCTCTCTCTCTCTCAAAATAAACATTAAAAAAAATAACCCTGTTTATACATTAAATATATTGTGTCATGAATTGTAGTTTTTCATTTCCTTGGATTTTTGGGAGTTTGCATTTACCTGGAAAATTGTTTACTTTGGAGGAAAAAGATGGATGCTACATAAAAAATTGGGGAAGTCCAGAGAACTGGTAATGAAAGCCAGAGTCCTAATAGTGCTCTGAGTATATAGGAATGAGGTGGACTGGGTTTCAAGCATCATAAGGTCAGAACACAGAAAAACAAGACACAAAACTGTATTTCCAGAACTTTTCTGTGCTGTAAAACTTAATGACACAAAAGAGTATTGAGACAGTGAATTATTAAAAACTTTATTATGTGACAGGAGATTTAAATCTTTAAAATTTTCCCCGAGGATCATAAGTACCCTCTTAGGAAATATAAGAAAAATGCAGATTAATGTGCTCCTTAGTTAACCATATGGCTATGTGTTTATGTATGCATATACACACAACGTTCCAGGTAGTAATAAATTTTCTTTTCTTCCTGTGATTTTTAACATGTTGAATTGGAAACTATCAGGATTAGTAGTCCTGATTTTTGCATCTTGACCTATCTTAAGACAGTAATACATCCAGAGCAGTGATTCTAAGCTCTGATTTCTCAAAATGTTTTAAGAATCCCATAAGCCTATAAATCAACTGAAACAATTTTCTACACTTAAAAAAAATAAACACACAAATGAGGCTCACCACAAGAGTTTCTTAATGATAGCTAACTATGGGTTAAAGGGGGGAAGTAGGTGAGAGATGGGCTAGATGAGTGATGGGTACTAAGGAGGGCACTTATGATGAGCACTATCGTATGCAAGTGATGAATCACTGAATTCTACTCCTGAAACCAATATTGTATGTTAACTAAAATTTAAAAAAATAATAAGGTATATGCTATAAGTCTATGGCATAATATAACTACCTCGTATTTTGCGATTTTTATCAAATTACGAGCAGGAATTTATGATAGTAATAAAGTAGTACTTTATGTGCTTTTCATATTAAGAGTCTCTTAACAATATTCATTATTTCATACAAATCAAAACCACACTCATATCACCTCACGCCAGTCAGAGTGGCCAAAATGAACAAATCAGGAGACTATAGATGCTGGAGAGGATGTGGAGAAATGGGAACCCTTTTGCACTGTTGGTGGGAATGCAAATTGGTGCAGCCACTCTGGAAAACAGTGTGGAGTTTCCTCAAAAAATTAAAAATAGACCTACCCTATGACCCAGCAGTAGCACTGCTAGGAATTTACCCCAGGGATACAGGAGTACTGATGCATAGGGGCACTTGTACCCCAATGTTTATAGCAGCACTCTCAACAATAGCCAAATTGTGGAAAGAGCCTAAATGTCCATCAACTGATGAATGGATAAAGAAATTGTGGTTTATATACACAATGGAGTACTACATGGCAATGAGAAAGAATGAAATATGGCCCTTTGTAGCAACGTGGATGGAACTGGAGAGTGTGATGCTAAGTGAAATAAGCCATACAGAGAAAAACAGATACCCTATGTTTTCACTCTTATGTGGATCCTGAGAAACTTAACAGAAACCCATGGGGGAGGGGAAGGAAAAAAGAGAAGTTAGAGTGGGAGAGAGAGCCAAAGCATAAGAGACTCTTAAAAACTGAGAACAAACTGAGGGTTGATGGGGGGTGGGAGGGAGGGGAGGGTGGGTGATGGGTATTGAGGAGGGCACCTTTTGGGATGAGCACTGGGTGTTGTATGGAAACCAATTTGACAGTAAATTTAATATATTGAAAAAAATAAAAATAAAAATTTAAAAAAATTTTAAAAACCCTATATTCTTAAAAAAAAAATTCATTATTTCAACATTTAGTAAGCATCAACTATATACCATAACCTCATGTTTCCAATGTTGAGGATAATGCATTGCTAAGTATAAAGAGACAAAGAGTCTACCTTACAGAGTTTTCCAGGTAAAGTTTCTCTTTGGAGGAAAAAAAAGTGGGAGGGGGTAGGTGGAGTAGTGGTTCTGTTAGAAAGAAGTCTGACCAAGTCCGGAACCCATACAAGAAGCAGGCAGAAGTGTTGCCAATAGGAAGGAGAGAAAGAGGATAAGGGAATTCAAAAATTAAGAATGGTAAAAACTGATGGTTTCAAGTAATATACAACTGTCAGGTTTCTGCATACAAAGGAAATTACTATACAGATTAAATCACCATTGCACAGGCATTTCTAACATTTTATATGTGATTAAAGAGATAAAACATGGTAAGTTTATGTATGGCAAATAATATAATAAAACTAGTATTGTACTAGTCATTGCTGATTACTGGAAGAATATTTTAATTACATCTTAGTACTAAGGGTGTCTTACCAAACAAATAAATGTAATTTAGCTGGTAAAAATTATGCCTAATATTAGAATGTTGGAATAATAAATGAAAAATAGCCCCTCTCAAATTAGTATGAAGGAATTATGAGCAAAAACAATGAAGATAAAAGGTAACCAATCAGGTACCAAGATACATTATGAAGTGGTAAACAAGTTGGTATATCATTGGATCCGTAAATAGACATTTTTTTATTTACTTAAATGTGTATAATCTCAGACCCAGAAAAAAATATGAGAGAAACTAATGGATTATAAAATGTAAAATTTCTTTATGACCTGATTCTATAACAGTGGTAAAAGAAAACAGACTGAGAGAAGATATTTGTCAACGCATAATAGAGGAGGGTTAAAATCTAGAATAATCTAGAATGTCAAAACACTATTTTTTCATAATAAAAAAACTGCAAAATAGGGAAGCAGATAAAAGATCAATAGCCAATTTACTTTTAAAACGATGCTCAGTCTCCCAAGTAATCAGGGAAATTGGTAAAAAATGTAAATTTTTAGAATATGACATATTGACCAAGGTGGGGGAAAATGGGAACTCTCCTACACTGTTGGTGGGAGTGTCAGTGGGTACCAAAGGACAGTTATAAATACGTATTCAAATAAATAGTGCATTTTCCATAATCCCAGAAATACTGGAAGACACTCAACATGTGCCCAGCGCAGTATATATAAGAATATGCATTGTGGTGATGTTTCTAATAAAAATTTGGAGAAATCTAAATTTCCATCTTAGGGAAGTAACTAAATTGTAATATTTTTACATTAGAATAGTATATATCAGTGTTTATTAAAAGCTTGAAGTTACATCCCTCTTTATGGGTCTGAAAACTCCCTGACACCCAGTATGTAAGTAATACTTTTCCGCTTGCTCATAGGAGAAAGACGCAGTTAAATTTTAACACCTGGGCAATTTACAACAGGATCTGTGTGTTTTCCAAAAGGATAGATATGCCTGTGAGAACTCTTTCTTTGTTCATAAAAACGTATTTTTTGAATCGTTAATGTATATCTTAAAGAGGGAAATATCCCTTAGTGCCTCAAAGGAAATAGGAAAGTTAAGATTGTATGTTGCCTTGTTTCCTAAGTTTCTGCCATGGGAAGGAAATAAAAAGAGCCAACCCCATGACTTTACTTTGAACAAGTGTTTTGGGTTTAAAAGGAGGCAAGCCATGTTCCAAGAGAAGTCACTTGTGTTGGATCCATTACCAGCCACATCCATCTTGAGATTCTGTTCCACCTGTCCTTTCCTTCAGCAGACTAACCCAGGCATACAATATGACTGTGTCAGAATGTGACCGGCAAGATCAGTTGCACAAGTATTTATCAAGCCTCTGCTTGTGTCACATTTTCTCATATCATACTGGCCAAAGCAGATCACATAGCTTATCCCAGAGTTAGAGTGGAGTGCCCTGCAAAGTTCCATGGCAGAGGACCTAGATATGAGGAAGGCGAAGAAATGGAACCATTTTTGAAATCTATTACATGTACTCCATACTATGTCCAAACAATGTAGATTTCTAGCCTTTTCCCCTCACTTCATGGCACACAGAAAATTATACTTATAGCACACTAGGGGTGCTCTTGGCCAGAAGTGACTTGGCTATCTAAGGACCAAGGGATTAAATATCTAGGTGACCTGTAACCTATTTGCAACACACTGATGTAAAGTCTAAGAGGTATGTGCATACTCTGAATGTCATTTATAATTAAGGGCTATACTCAATTTTCTTTAAAAAATTGTTAAAAATTTTTATTTTAGAAAACTATACTGTGTCATTGATATCCAAAATGTATAATTATTACCATTTCAGATGTTCATACATGTCATTGCATGAGCTTTTATTTATTGTTTAATGTTTATTCATTTTTTGAGAGAGAGCACAAGTGGGAGTGGGCAGAGAGAGAGGGAGACACAGAATCTGAAGAAGGCTCGAGGCTCTGAGATGTCAGCAAAGAGCCTGACGTGATGCTCAGACTCACGAAATGTAAAATCATGACCTGAGCTGAAGTTGGACGCTTAACTGACTGAGTCACCCAGGTGCCCCTGCATCAGCTTTTAAAGTGAACTTTTTTGACTTCTGGGGAAGATGGTAGCATAGGAGGATCCTAGGCTTACCTTGTTCCATGGACATACCTAGATAAAACCCACATCAGTGTAAATAACCCAGAAAATGACCCAAAGACTGGCAGAACAGACTGTCCACAGCTAAATGTAAAGAAAAGGCCATATTGAAGACAGTAGGAAGGACAGAGACATGGTTCAGAGCCAAAGTGTTCAGGCAACTGTCCACAGGAGGGACACCATGGGCACAAAAGGCAAAAGGAGCAGGCCCTGCACCAGGCACCTCAGGCACAGGGGACCTGCACAGGAAAGATGAACACCCTAACATTTGACTTTGAAA